TCAGTCATAAAAAAATAAGTAAGGTAGAGTGACATAGTTAAAGCGAAATAATTTTTTTTAGAGGTATCTGAATACAGGCTAGATTAATCTGTCTGTCACTCTTCAACTTCAGGTTGTGGATACTCGAAGGATCTTCCTATATTTCCTCTTACAGCAAATCAAATTAACACATATAAATGCCTCCGAATCAAGCAAGGGCATGGTGATTTATGCATTGTTACGTCATCACTGTAAAGTGCATATCACCCCTATGTTTGCAAGAAACCATGTGGATCCTTTCAGTATCACACACTCACTCACTCTCATGTATCCGTCTGACAAGTTTCCCCTCCACCTTGAGTACCCCCCCCCCCCCCCCCCCCAAAAAAAGGGTCATGTTTCCTAGATTAAATTGGGTATATGGAGATTCTTGCAGTTTTAGTTCATCTACTACACTGGGTTGATCGGCAAATGTGAGGTTAAAATATTCAAGATTTCTCATCATTTCTTCTTTTCATTTGCACTTTGTTACATGTACTAACTCCTATATAGCAAGTTTCTTAAGTTGATTTCAAGCAAATGAATATCGAATTCTAAGAAAAATCGATGTGTTTTCTCTTTTAATGAGCATGAACTGTTTGGTCTTGACAAGTCTCAAAAATCGAACTATCTGGTTATTTGTGTACACAAAGAATGTCAACCTAGTTATGAATTTTCATCAGGTATTCTATATCATCCATTGTAGCAATGCAGGGACACGTTTTTTGTAATGCTTCTTAACTAATGCTGTGATGCGCGTGAGTCATGAATATCAGATTTGTTAAACAAGCCAATGTTTTCATCTATGTTCCTTGCCGGATCAAGCCCCGCCCACAGCCCACGGGGTGATTCCCACGGATCACGTGACTAGCAAGGGGAAGTCCCTGGTTAAGAGTATAGGAAGTAAGGAGTGATCACTCCGACCAGGTTTATTATTTCACTCACTCTACTCTTGATTAACAGGCCTGCTAGAGAGTGATGAGGACAAGAAACAAATGAAATCACAGTTGAAATGAAACCTAAAATCCAAAACAAACGAAATGAAATAATTAATTTGAATAGATAACTCTACAACCACCCCCCCCCCCCAACCCACCCAATAACAACAACAATAACGATGACAATACCCTGTCGATTTGTTGTCAAGTTTGTCCTGGTATTAAGTTAGCATTTTCTCCCAAGAAGGCTGATGTAAACAGTAAACTGAATAAGAAAGCAACGTGACGATTTGAAAGTTTGTCTTCCGGTGAAGATATCATGACGTTGAATAAACCTAACTTTAAAAAAGGAGTTTCATCTAAACAAATCTAAGAAGGGTCTTTGAATGGACACCGTAGAAGCAGAAGTTGGGGTGTTGGTGAAGCCATGTCTAACATGTCGTGAATAATGCAAGCTTCTTTCAATAGGCCTACGATTTTATTGTTTTCGCTTGTATGCGTGTTTTATACGAGAAGAGACAAGAAGGTATAAGTCCAATCCCAAACATGAATAAAACACTGAACAGATAAGACAACAATATAACCTAACGAGAAGAACAATTATATACATGTTTGCCTACATCAATACAATCTTATTTTAAGGCATATTTAGTTTGATCATTATAAACCCAAATAAGTTTTCTCTTTCATTACAATACTATTATCTCGTTGAGTTTGCCAACCATGTCACATCCGCTTAGCCCTGAGCCTCATGCCCGAGGCGGTATGTCTACGAGGAAAAGAGTCTCTTCGATGTCTCTATCTCTAGAAATACATGAAGAGAAGGAGAGAGAGAAAAAAGAGAGAGAGAGAGAGAGAGAGAGAGAGAGAGAGAGATAGGGAGAGATGGAGAGAGAGAGAGGGAGAGGGAGGAGAAAGGTAGACAGAGAAGAGAGAGAGAGGGAGTGTAGGAAAGATACTATGAAAGAGGAGTAGAAAGAAAAAGATAGGAAAGAGCCAAATAAAGGGAGAGGGCGAGAGAGGGGCGAGAAAGAGAGGAAAGGGATAGAATGCTGCGTTAATTTAGCGATGAGAAACATAATTTCCATTGTCTTTTTCGACATGTTCAATTGATATTGGCCAGATGGTTGCCATACTTGCCGTATCTTTGATGTAAGCATTGTAAGTCATGATTGTGTCACAGAATAAAGGCAAACAAGAGGAATAATTTTGTTATGTTATAAGAATTGCGCTTTTTTTTACTTTTGATTTTATGTATTATTTTTTATTTTACGTATATTTTTATCCGTTTTATGTCCGTTTTATAGTTTACTATGGTTTTGAGAAAGGTCTATAAAAATGCCTGACAGAGGTCACCTATCCTTAATATAATCAGTGAATACACATCTGAAATTACATGAACATAGCAATCCGATGAAAACTAATGATTATCTTATTCCCTGTTATTCCACTATGCCTTCGATAATAAAACATCAGTCAACCACCCAACAATTGATTTATAACCAGTTATTGAAAGAGACGAATCACTATACAGATCAATCGCATGATCACTCACTCGATTAACTAACCAAACCAAATCAGCCATCAAATAGTCTATAAAGTGAGCCATCTCTCTCTCTCTCTCTCTCTCTCTCTCTCTCTCTCTCTCTCTCTCTCTCTCTCTCTCTCAAAGAAAAAAAAATGTTGCATTCTTGATCAACCAACAAGAACCAAATAACCACACAACCAATAAAACAAACAAACAAACAAACAAACAAGCAACCATATTAAACCATCAATTATTAAATCATTCCATCGATCAATCGCATACAACGGGTTGACCAACTATTTAGCCAATCGACCAATCAAAAGTCATTCGATCTGTTATTGACCATAATTTATGAATAATCAATTAATCACCAATCAATCAATCAGTCAGTCGCCCAAATCAATAGATACATTACCGATTCAACCGAATATTGAAATAAAATGGGGAAACTTCAAACACCTATCAATGAATTTATCAATGTATGGATCGCAAAGACTTTCGGAAAACATCTCAAGGACAATTGTAATACCCTACTGTATACCCGTATAAGTCATGTTCGGATTACGTAACACATGTACGTCATCACAATATAATCATAGTATTTTCAACATTATACCTTGTTTAATGTGTGTGTTCATTATAACTTATGTATGTTTATATGTTTTGTTAATATGTTTTTGATTTTGTTGATACAGGGCCCCTTAGTTGAGCAGTTTTATTATAGTTTTTATAATTGCAAGGGCTACCCTATCAAAATAAAACGACAAATAAATAAGTAAATACAAGCATGATAATGGGTCATGGACAAGGCTATATAGATATTGCCTTGGGTTGAATTTCCTAAATTCTTTGCGATAGTCAGTCTTAGATAATCCTCTTTTTGTTTTGCTTCTCCTCTCTATATAACACCATTAATAGTTTATGAACCACAATCAAAGACGACTTAACAAAAGGTAATATATGGTCAAAGATACAGAATATCATTTTATTTGAAGAAAAAAACAATAATTATACTAGTATTACAATAAAATAAAACATTATGGATTGAAGACAGCTAAATACATTTTTAAAGATGAAAATATTGCTTTAAAAGGATGAAATTGAATACCTTCCCAATTGAACGAACCATCATTAGAGAGATCAAGAGAGAAATAGAAAGAAGGTAGACGGATGGGAGAGGAAAGAGAGAAGGAGATAAGAGAGAGAGAGAGAGAGAGAGAGAGAAAAAAAAGGAATTAAAACAACTTCAATATGAGACGAAAATAGAACGGTTAAATATCGTAACTCATGGTGTTGAAAGCAAAAATACTTGACAAATCACTAGATAAACGCCATAGATAAAAGTACAAATGAAAAAAAATTGAAGCAAAAGTGACCTAACCATAGATACGAAGCATACCATAAGTTTCAGTGGAGACAAATCGATTTTAACTTCTATATCAAATTTCTCGACACTTTATTTTGTATTAATAAATTTTCTTTGCTTCATACTTAATTATATATATATTTCTCCCTTTCTTGTCATAATATCTATTCAGCGAGTATTCGCTTATCGAATAAAATACTACATGTACATGTACATGACTACATGTATAAGCTTTTCTAACAAGAACGACGTAGTCTCTTGCCAAAGAGCTTTCATGATTATTTTTGTCCACAGCCTTCCACATTCTATCGAAATGACAGATAAGTTAATTATTCCGACTGATATTCAATAATGATCTAAAGGCAGAGCTTCAACAACATTAAGTTCCAAAAATAATCCATGCGAATAACACTTCAGACTCGGATTAAATCATGAACCATATAATAATGTAACTTCATTACAAACTATACAACTTACACGAACCGAGACAAAGTGTACATTATCTTGTATACAACACCATTCTATTTCTTTCTCACGTTGTCTTGTTAATATATGTATATATATACAAAAATGTACTCATTCAAACAAGAAAAATGGAATGATAGCAGTTGTAGAACAATAATAAATTACTAATTTTATTTTACATCAACTACTTGTTTACACCAACGGTGCACAATTTTTTTATTTTTTTATTATTATTCTTAATCGGAACAAAAACAATGATCACATGTTTGTCAATAACTTTAATCAAGAACACTTTTTATTTACAATGTAACCATATTATCTATATGCTGCTTCATATTATACTGTTCACGTGAACAGCGTACGTCTGAAAAGGGCATATCAAAAGTCTCATAAAACATTCTTTTTTCAGAATACAATTTTAAAAAGATAGTGAAAGAGAGAAGCCAGATATAAGGAAGAGATGTTAACCTTAACAAGAATGACAGAAAATAAATTGCTATCAAATGCATCAACTAAAACCGGGTAAAAAGGAAGGAAAGTTGAATAAATAATAGAAAGCAGTAGAAAACTGTATAAAAACTGAAACAGAAGCAAACGAAGCAGAAGCAACATAACAAAGGTATAATAGGAAAAATATATTATTATCATTAGAGGGAGCAAAGACAGAAGGAGAAAAAGTGGAAAAGGAGAAAGAAACGAATTTATGAAATATTTTCTTGGCTATATTTAATCAATCGCCTATAAGAAATAATATAAAAGGACTATTATACGACGACAATATAAAAGCCTTTCAAACGCTGGAAGAAGTTTGGCATAGTTCCATCTGATAGGCTGTAATGGCGTTTCGAGTTGCATAATAAATGTACTTCAAAGTCTAACAACAAGAGGTCAAAGGTCAACATAGCTGACAAGGTGTTATGTGCACCATCCATCCTCATCGTTGATCTGATTGGGTGACGAGCCTGAGGTATCCATGACGTCACAATGGGTGTTCTCTTGGTCATCACTCTCTGGTGGCTTACTGGTGATTGCAAACGGCCATGTCTGAGGAAAACAGTCAAATAGTATAACGGTGAAAGAAAATCTAGAGGGGAAAAAATATTCCCAATGAGTGGGAAAAATTCAAATTCAAAATCATGTTAGTAAGTTTATCTTATTTCGGAACAGAAATAAAATTATATCAAATAGAATCATAGGAAAGTGAGGGACATACTTGCCAAAGCCGGATGTAAATCTTTAAAAAAAAAAAAAGTTATTTCTGAAGAGGAGTTGTAGTCCACGTCCAATGTGTATATTGATATCTTGGATAGCATGACGCGAGGTATTCAAAACCATTTTTGTGTCCAAAAACTTGCTTAAGTTTAAAATTTGAGATATGTCCTATATAAAAATAGTAATGTGAATATGAATAATTGTGTTGTTTAACGAGTAAAATCTCTCATGAAATGTGTTATTAACTTATTATTGAACTAATAAAAAGGGGCTTTCTTATATCAGGGATGATTTGATATCATAATTACGTTTCCTTATTAATGAAAACATGAGTATCTAGAGATCTGGTTGATTTATGGTTTCTTCATGACGGACATTTGCATTAAAATTTCCCTTTAGAAAATTCTATACATATTTTGACATGTACAGTGACTGCTTGATTGCTGCTTCAGTTAAAAACATTTTAAATTTCTAACATAATTTCTAAAAGAAAACATACCAAACAGCAAAATAAATGAAGCAGCAGATTTTGATTTAGAATGAACACATTTAAGATTATATTTAACAACATCCAAGTAAAGACTAGAGATGATGATTGTGAATATGATAATGATGATGATGATGATGATGATGATGATGATGATGATGACAAATCGCATAAGCACTTTGTTTGGGAGCGTAAAAGGACGATACATCGGGCAGAAAATGTATTATTATCAATATCTTTTTATTGACCGTCTTATTAAAAATATTGTTGATATTATTATTACTACTATTATTGGATCGAGACTCAGTACCCAGCAGAAAGTAATACTAAGGAAAGGGAGAATGACATCGGAAACACGAAAACAGAAAGACATTGAAGCATCCCATATTACCCTCAATCATAAATCTAAAGTTCCAAGCAAACAAAGTGTGAAAAAGAAATTAAAGAATTGAAACTTATTTCCCCTTCTCCTCCTTGCAAATCATCTGCGACAAAATGTCATATTAGTTTTCTCTGGTATTTGTTACACATCCATTTCCAAGAAGTTTCCCCCGGAGAAAACATTCATGACAGTTATTGTGATTGGGTTTCCCTGCCTATCTGTTGCCCCCGATTCCAGGGCTTGTTTTGTTCGCATACAGTTTAGTGAACTTAGCAACCTCTAACATCACTCGTGACGTCATGAATCATGAAAGTCAAGTATTGTCTAAAGGCGACACGACAGAGAAGTACGTCCTTACCTTTTCTTCTGAAAATCCATCCCCTCCCTCCCCCTTCATTTTTTATTTCTCCCCTCCCCCTCTCTCTCTCTGAAAAAAAACGGTTTAAAAAAATTATAAAAGCCGACCGTAGATTTCAAGATTTTGGGGGTCGGTCGCAAAGGGCAATAGTAATACAACATTTTTGTTGGTTAGGCCTTACAATAGATAAGGGACTTTTGGTGTTCTACTAGGCTATTTTCTTGATGTAATCAAATTTTTGTTTGTGTCTAGTGCCTTTTTACAAATTATTTCATTCACCCGATACGAATGTTTCAATAGCCGCCAAAATGCAAATTGCATTATACTACGTGTTGCTAGGTAGGGTTAGCAATTATTACGTCCTACCTTGCAACAACATTATTGTACGCGATTTGAATTCTGACTATTGATACATTGTACATTTATTCGAAAACAGGTAAATGCAATAACTCGTATCGAGAGTCGAGACGCTTCACAAAGGTATATATATGCATAAATCTGGTTATGATGATATATTATAGGACTACATGAGTAGCCCTCATCATGATCGGCATGGGTTGCTTGTGAAGTTGCAAACAAATAGCAATGAACACGGTGAAGCCATCTCACTTCTGTTTATATGAGAGAAGATAGATGTATTTCGGGGAACAAACAAACTAATTCCCTAACCCTTACACATAGAATTTTCTCTATCCACCTCTTCTCCCTACTAATGCCATGTGACTAATGTGCGATTCCGTCATAAAAATAACTTCAAATTTGTCACAAAAGCAATTTCACAATATTATTTGTCACGATATCTAATGCATTGATTTTGTCACGATATCTAATGGATTGATTTTTTCACGATATCTAATGCATTGATTTTGTCACGATTCCGTGGACAATATCACTCCGTGAGATTGATTTCGCGAAAGAAAAATCACTTGGTGCATCTGCCTTTGAGACAAAATCAGTTAATTGGATTAATTTCGTGACAAAACCAAACATTTTGAGTGATTTTGTGACGGATCACACATGTGTCACTTGGCGCCCCTTACTAACCAAAGTTCCACAAACCCCCATCACCCTCCTATACGATGTCGGCGGTCCAGCGGCTCATATAGCAGAGGTTATGAGGAAGGACCCTAAGTTTTACGACCCTCTCTTCCAGTCGTTAATACCGGGCGCGTGTCGGCTTGGGAATCACTAATGTTGCTCTACCCCGGGCTCTACCCGTGCACACGCGTATAAACAAACTTTGACAATCATAACCTACTACATTCACATTTCAGATGCCGTTTTACGTTGAACCCGAAAATAAACAAGATATTAAATAATCATGGACTTGCTTGCTCTCAGACTTTCTTTGTTATGTATACGTTCAGTCGTTTTATTCCAGTTTTCATGAAAATGACATGACGAAAGTATATGATGATGACAGGCAAAGTACAATGTTAGTAAAAGTCGCAGGAAACATAAATACCATTCCCTTTGCGATCAATATGAAATATACTGGAAAGATAAATATAACAGAGGTCCGTAGCCCATTTTCGAATCTATTAAAATGTTACACACGTTTACCTAGGCCTAGCGACGAGTTATTAACAGGATAAACATTATCTCAATCACGTCAATACTCAGAATGCAAATTGCATATATTCGATTGTATAATAGTTGTTGCCAGGTTGGGTTTATTTTACGACTTGCCCTATAACTATATGCAACTTGCATCCCAATTATTAAAATCTAATTATATTAACAGCGAATACGAGGTGAATGAAATAATTCGGACGAGGCATTTAACAAAGACGCAAGCATTTCATTATTTGTTATTTTATTTATATTTCGAAACGGTCGTCTCTCTTTTACTTTCAAACGGTAATAATTATGCCTGAAATTTACCTAAAAATAATGCCGTCATAGAAAGAAGATGAATCAATATGCAATTCATTTCAGTATAAGGATTTTTTTTTCATTAAAAAAAGATTTGGCACCATCAACATGCCAAAGTGTCACCCATAAATATCACCCAATTGTTTATATTAATATTATCATCGTTTTAAACTACATGAGTACATGAAAGTGTTGTGTTTTCTATCATATATATATATATGTATACTGTGTTTCTTCTCGGTTCTCATCTTTTCAAACTCTACAACACATTGTTGACCTTTGACTCTTTTTTCCTTCAAATTATTATAAATTAAATTTAAGGTTGGATATCCACTTATTCTGCAACGAATGACTTCCCCTTTTACAGCAGCATCGCAAAGCTATGGGGGGGGGGGGGAGGCAGCTAAGGCGTTGATGCCCCCACCTTTTCAAAAAATAAAGATAAATTCCCCTTCTTCGTTGTGTCCTTGGTAGGTTCATGTTTATATCCATTTCATGACACAACAAAACGTAAGACCTACATCAATTTCTGGCTTGCTGTGATCTATCACTACAACGGCAGAAAGGTGGAGATTATTGTACATTTGATCAGTTTATGAGTACAAAAATATATCCCCTACCCTATATATTTTAGTGACGTAAGAAAATACAAAACAAAATAAACAAACAGACTTTACTGTAACTAAACTTTGAAAGAAAGCATCCTAACCACATAATTATATTTGAAAGAAAGAAAGTCATTTGGCATTGAAACAGAATTCTAACTGGCCGAAAGTTCCTCTTTTCAATAGCCAACTAGTTTATTACCTATCTACTACTGACTACTACTAGGAGATGATGCAAAAATATCCATTTAAGGCCGCAATTATTAATCACTTAAAAAACTAAAGAAGCTATAAAAAGGGAGTTGGTGCCCCGAGCCCCCCCCCCCTCCTTTTTTTTTAAATACGTTTCCCCACCCCCACCTTGAAAAACGTTCCTTAGCCCCTGTTGTGTCAGCTAAGGACCTCCAGTCTTATCTCTCGCTCTAATTTACGTCGCTCGCGTTCCGTCCACTTTATGCTTACAACTTGGGATGTGCGAAAACAAATACTTGATAAATCACTACAAACGTCTTGTCATCGACCAACACGTCACGACCATTCACTAAATGCTTGACCAAATTACTCCTCCTCTGGTATTTACATGTTTACTATTTACTACTTATTTTACTACCCCGCATGCATGCCTATCCAAGCCAAAAATGTGGGGGTGCTTTGCACAATGGAAACTACTGATGGGGCTATACCCTGTTGAAATAAAACGAAATAAATAAATAAATAAATAGCATGCTTAGTGCTCTCATCCCTCTAATTAATATGGTTGAAAGTTATGAATACAGTATTTAGCCAATTTGTAGTATTAAGCCGTTAATTTCCCCTTTTACCTTTATCTGCGCACCTAACATATTTTGAATATTTTATCACGTGTCATGGCTGAAGCCTGTAATCGCTGTCACTAAAAAGTCTTTTTTTTAAACTGACTTTGATTTCTACATGCATGGATCATCATGATCATGTAAAAAAATACTTTGAAATAAAAGGACTGAAGTGAAAGTCACTGCTGTTGGCCAAATTGGTAGAATATATTATTAATGCAAGTAGTAATCACTGAAACCAATCAAATACAATGTCTAATTCCAGAAGGCTTACTGAGCTGAGGATATACATTTTGTACCAGTGATCATGGTGATAGGCTGGGTGGGTAGAAACCAAGCAAAAATTGGGGAACGCTTTGCTACATAATTATTATGAGCAATGAATATGAATTATGATCGTGATGATAGCATGAATTTTGTTTTGTTAGGACGTAAATGAATGGGTGATGAACTTCATGAGGCACTTCATGCCTTGGTAAAGTCTATTATGAACTCATGAAGGAAGAATAGAGGATGAGAGTGAGAAGGAGGAGGATGAAGAAGAGCAAGAACAAGAAGGAGAAGATAAAGGGAGAGCATCTCACCAGGCTAATGGGGTGCATCATCCTTCCATCGAGCGAATCATCATCTAATATCTTTTTGAGATGAGAAATGTAGCTTGAAGCCAGTCGAAGTGTATCTAGTTTAGAGAGCTTCGTATCAGGCGGAACCCACGGCAGACTCGTCTTCAGCTTGGAGAAGGCCTTGCTTAACACTCGCATCCGAGTTCGTTCACGAGCATTCGCCGCGTTCCTCTGGACGGGTTTGATGGGACCTCGCGAGCTACTCCGACCATCGCCTCCATCTCCTTTCCCGCTTCCTCTTCGGCGGCGTGCGCTTCCGCTCGTCGATGACTTTCCCGTGTCGCGATGTTTCACGTTGCACGATGAAGACGTTGGGCTTCCATCCGATGCCGTGCTTTCGCCGGAGACGCTCCCCGAATCGACGCCCCGTCCCCCGCTGCCGCTGGAGTCCTGATTTCGACTTGGATCGCTGCTGTTCATCGGCATTGTATCGTGGTCAAAGTCGGCCTCATTGAACTGCGAATCGTCGCTGATGATAGGGATGAATTCAAATCCAGGTAACATAGTGTCTATTCTTGATACTCCGAAACAATAATATTGCTCAACAAATAACAAATGTAATGAGCTATTTTACCAAACCGTCAAAAGAACTGAGAGAAGTCATAATTCCATTCTAGTTCAATCATAAAGTTAAGATGTTACCACTTTCAAGACACGACCTCGATGATTGTTACACAATATTGACATTTTTGAAATCCAAATATGTATCCCAGATGTATTCCTCCTTCATTAAAACTAAAATTGGTTTCGCCTGATCCAAACATCAACTGACCTGATTCTTTAGTACAGATAGTTCAATGATCAAGGAGCAAATGAATATCTTTAGATCCAGGCAGTTAGAGTCCAGTAAAGTCCAATGAACTTCTGATGAGACACTCAGAGAGATTCATCATTCAGACAGACAGAGAAGTGAGGTTCTTCAAGTAAACTTATGCTGTTTTGCAGAGGTCTTGCAAGGAAATGAATATGAGTAAGTTTTGTTTCAACCCGGCTGCGATCACACCGCCAAGCCAACATCTTTCCTGTCCGAATGAGGTGGTCCAGATGGCGAAGGAAAAGGGTCTCATTGCTCGCTCGCAGGTAACGTGTACAGGGTGTTCCAGTAAAACAAGCTGCTTGGAAATGTTGGCCTCGTTGTATACACTACATTTCAAGGTCCAGTGGTGTATCCAGTATGACAGAAGAGTATTCTACGTCCAAAAATTGAGGGTTCGTTGGCTGGTGCCGGGGAGGGGGGGGGGGTGCACCGGTCTTTAATGTTCGGTGGATGAAATGCGGACATGACTATCACGTTTCTTTTCACATCTATTCTTACTTTTATTTTCCCCACAATCAGTGTCTTTCTTTATCTATTGCTCTTCATTGAAATTTGACTTTGGGAGCTGGTGCCCCCGTAACTACGCACCCCCCCCCCCTCCTCCTCTCTCTCTCTCTCTCTCTCTCTCTCTCTCTCTCTGTTCAGTTCAATTCAGTTTAGTTCAATTTATTAAATACTCTCAAGCATAAAAACATTATTATAATAGGCCTATGCACAAAATGGGCAAGTATACATAGTAAGAGAAAAAAACGGAAACTACAAACAAGTTTATAAAAACTTTTATGAAGAAGTTCCCAGTAAAGGGGAACAATACATGGTATAAACACTAGCAATAAAAAAATACAAAATTATGCAGATTAATCAGTAACACACTACACCAACAAACACCAGCAATCATACTGCATCTCTCTCTCTCTATTGAACAGTGTGTAGCTTAAGTCTAGTACTAGAGAGTTTCCACAGCAGGGATTCATCCATAATGTACTTTACAATAGTTTAACAATAGTTTAACAGTGCGAATTTTCATACCTAAACATATTATTACTTGTAATAATTTATCAGCAACAATAGTAAGTAAACAACAAAAATAAAGGAGAAACTATTCCAGGTTGAAATAAAAGTTTTCATTGCAAAACAACCTCAAAGCTATTACCAATTTGTTTATTACGTCTCTGGATACGCCCATACAACTAGGAATTGTCTAAGGGTAATTGTCCCGCTATGTGTATAGGGCTTGCCCGAGTGTAGTTGCCTTGTCGGTGGTGAGGATAGTGGTCCTAGCATAGTGATAGTATAATATCAAACTTCATATATGATGCAGTAAATATTGTGGCATATTTACTTTGCAGGTTAAAGCATTTTATTGTTTCAATAAGGTCCAAAATAAAAGGCTCAAGTAATTAACCCGTTCCTCACAATTTCGAATAGTCATCAAACTAGTTTAATTGAAATGTATTTAGCCGTGTCAACATAACCCCCCTCAATAGGGCCCGTCCTACTTTTTTGTGTGTACCCTATACCATGAGAGATAAAAGTGAAAATGATTTGGTAACCCTTTAGACCAGCGTGCCAGAAATAATCGAACATAACTCACTCAGCTTTGAGAGGGGCCATTGGACAGTGATTGACGGCTGATGGGCGGTGTAAAGATGATGACTGGACGATTCATGATAGAAGATGACAGCAGAGAGAGAGAGGAGGAGAGAGAGGGGGTGGAGAGAGAGAGGGGGAGAGAGAGCGGGGAGGAGAGAGGGAGAGGGAGAGAGAGAGAGAGGGGGAGGAGAGAGAGAGAGGGGGAGGGGAGAGAGAGAGAGAGGAGGGGGGTGGAAAAGGAGAAGAGGTTGCGATAGATCAATGCAAGATGGAATGGGAGAATGGGAAAGGAGGGTGATATAAGAGAGAGGGGGAGAGGGAAGAGAGAGGGGAGAGGGAAGAGAGAGGGGGAGAGGGAAGAGAGAGGGAGGGGAAGATGGAAAAGGAGAAGGGTTGCGATATAGAGAGCAATGAAAGATGGAATGGCACAGGAGAGAGATAACTATACAAAGAAGAGAGAAAGAGAGAGAGAGAGAGGGAGTAAAAGAGACAGAGAGATAAAGAGAGAAAGAGAGAGAGAGAAGGGTCGAGATAGGGAGAGAGAGGGGGGAGAGTGAACGAGAGAGAGAGAGAAAAAAAAAAGAGAGAGAGAGAGAGAATTGAAGTGAAAGAGAGGGAGAGAGAGAGAAGGGGTGACACATTGAAAGGGAGTGAGGCAAAAAGTGTAACAAGATGAACTATTCATTAGATTAATATTTATAAAGAGATCAAGTGAAAGATAGAGAAACAGAGAGGTTCATAGAAAGAAAAAGGGAGAGAAAAAATACAGATTAAAAGATCGATAGAGAGATAGAAAGATGGATGGGGAAGTGGTCTGAGAAATAAGGCGCGGTAGATAGGGAGAGAACATGATGATTATGATATTATTCCTGTCATCGTACAGTGACTTTGAGTTTCAATGTTAGTGATACGGAAGTAACTGGGCCTCTTGTATGGGGCAAGAGCACTAAGCTTTTAATTTATGTTAATTAGCTACTTTACTTGGGTATAGTCTAGAATAAAATCCTATTGCTATTTCTGCTTCTAATTCGAGGCAATGGGCAAATAATTGACAATATAATTATTTGTAAATTTGTAAAGTGATTTCGCACCTTGAAGTGTTAACCGGTACATCGTCCTCCCCTTGTCATACCTCCCTTCCACTCTCTTCTCTCTCTCTCTCTCTCTCTCTCTCTCTCTCTCTCTCTCTCTCTCTCTCTCTGTCTCCTCCCATTTTAACCCCTTGCTATTTGAAAAGAAACTACATGTTGTCTTGTTCAATTTCATTTAGATAATTATTATGTAAGGCCTATATCAATTTTAATGTTCTCCCTATTTTACGTGCCCTTAATTATTATCTGGCATTTCATATTTCTCGCCCAATACACTACTACTAAATGTAATAGGCTCATGAAAAGTATCCACGGTTCTACGTTGCAAGGTGATTACTACTACGTCGTGTATTAAATCTTTCTCCAATGATTTCTTCAAACATTTTCATATCATCAGAAAAGTAAATGTTTTTTTTTTAACAATGTTTTTGAACGTAACATTTACAATACACAAACACACTACAGCAAAAAGAATTGCGCTCCAGAACACTTTCCGGTAAACTCGTGTAAAAATTTGTGTATGTCTCACGGGTCTTGAACCCGGAAGGACACAGGCTCATCGGTATTAGCATAGATCTACCTATTATCAAGGCGTTTGTGGTGTCTGGAAGGTAATTACCCAAACAGATTTCGAGGAACAAATGTAAACAAAATCTGCCTGAAACAACATGTCATAAATCCAATTAATTTAGTATTGACCACCACTGCCACTTATATGGTGGCCCTGAAGGGACATCGCGAATAGACTAAATCGTGAAAAATATGCGATAAAATTCACGATATCGTCAATTTTATCGCATATTTTTCACGAAGAAATTCACGAAATTGACGATATCGTGAACTTTATCGTGAATTTTTCACGATGAAATTGACGATATCGTGAATTTTATCGTGAAAAGTTCACGATATAAAGTTCACGATATCGTCAATTTTATCGTGTACTCTATCGTGTACTCTATCGTGTACTCTCCTGACGGGCGCTTCGTAAACAAAACCAGCCCTAGCTGGGGGAGACAGAGAGAAGGAAAAAAGGGAAAGGGAAAGAGAAGATAAAAGGAAAGAAAGAATAATAAGAAGAAAAGAGGGAAACGGGGGGGGGGGCGAAGGGCTCTTGCCTCCTCCTCACTCCCCCCCCCCCCCCCTCCCCGCCAAAAAATAAATCAGAGAGAGAGAGAGAAGGGAAAGGGAAAGGGAAAGAGAAGATAAAAGGAAAGAAAGAAGAGGAAGAAGAAGAAAAGAGGAAAATGGGGGAAGGGCGAAGGACTCTTGCCCCCCCCCCTCCCCCCCCCCCCCCCCGCCAAAAAATAAATCAGAGAGAGAGAGAGAAGGGAAAAGGAAAGGGGAAAAGAAGATAAAAGGAAAGAAAGAAGAGGAAGAAGAAGAAAAGAGGGAAACGGGGGCAAAGGGCTTTTGCCTCGTCCCCCGCCCCCCCCCCCCCGCCAAAAAATAAATAAGAGAGAGAGAGAGAGAAGGAAAGGGAAAGAAAAGAAAGAAAGAGAAAAACGAAAAAGAGGGAGAATAGGAAAGAAAGGAAAAGAAAGAAAAGAAAGGAGGCAAGAGCCCTTCGCCCCTGTTTCCCTCTTTTCTTATTCTTTTTCCTCTTCTTCCTTTCCTTTTTTATTCTCTTTCCCTTTCCCTTCTCTCTCTCTCTCTCTCTCTCTTATTAATTTTTTGGGCGGGGGGATGCAAGAGCCCTTCGCCCCCGTTTCCCTCTTTTCTTCTTCTTCTTCCTCTTCTTTCTTTCCTTTTATCTTCTCTTTCCCTTTCCCTTTCCCTTCTCTCTCTATCTCTTATTTATTTTTTTGGCGGGGGTGGGGAGGGAGGAGGCAAGAGCCCTTCGCCCTTCCCCCGTTTCCCTCTTTCCTTCTTATTCCTCTTCTTTCTTTCCTTTTATATTTTCTTTCCCTTTCCCTTCTCTCTCTTATTTATTTTTGGCGGGGGGGGGAGGAGGCAAGAGCCCTTCGCCCTTCCCCTGTTTCCCTCTTATTCCTCTTCTTTCTTTCCCTTTCCCTTCTCTCTCTCTCTTATTTATTTTTTTGGCGGGGAGGGGGGGGGGGAGGTAAGAGCCTTTCGCCCTTCCCCTGTTTCCCTCTTTTCTTCTTCCTCTTCTTTCTTTCCTTTTATATTTTCTTTCCCTTTCCCTTTCCCTTTCCCTTCTCTCTCTCCTTATTTATTTTTGGCGGGGGGGGGAGGAGGCAAGAGCCCTTCGCCCTTCCCCTGTTTCCCTCTTATTCCTCTTCTTTCTTTCCCTTTCCCTTCTCTCTCTCTCTCTCTCTCTCTTATTTATTTTTTTGGCGGGGGGGGGGGGGGAGGTAAGAGCCTTTCGCCCTTCCCCCGTTTCCCTCTTTCCTTCTTCCTCTTCTTTCTTTCCTTTTATATTTTCTTTCCCTTTCCCTTTCCCTTTCCCTTCTCTCTCTCCTTATTTATTTTTTGGCGGGGGGGGAGGAGGCAAGAGCCCTTCGCCCTTCCCCTGTTTCCCTCTTATTCCTCTTCTTTCTTTCCCTTTCCCTTCTCTCTCTCTCTCT